GTTCTGGTTACATTGGTCCTCTTGCTCACAGAGGATCTCCAGAGTAGAAGGCTGACTGTTACCAGCAGAAAAGCAAGACAACTGAGTTGGAGTCGGTTCCTCTGTGGGACGAGGCAGCTGAAGTCTGTGTTGAGTTCTGCCACAAAAGCAGTTTTGCTAGGGAGCCAGTCAGATGGGAAAACACAGAGACTACACTCTGCCAAATGTCCTTCAGCGACTGTGAACTTATTGTCCTCCCACAGGAGTCTGTGTTGGTAACAAAAAAGTTTAAAAAGATAGTTTCTATGCAGATCCTGGACATGTGTGCAGCTCCAGGGTCGAAGACAGCCCAGCTGATCGAGATGCTTCATGCTGACATGGATGTGCCGTTTCCAGGTAGGAAAACTGGAAGAAATCCATGTTTTATTTCTTTAAATTGCAAAAAACTCCAAGATTCTCTTGCATTAATAGTGTATATAAGTTCAAACCTGATCTCCACCTTTCAGAGGGCTTTGTCATTGCAAATGACGTGGACAATAAGCGGTGCTACTTGCTCGTGCACCAAGCCAAGCGGCTCAACAGCCCGTGTATCATGGTGGTGAACCACGACGCCTCCTGCATCCCCACCCTGGAGATCAACTCCAATGGCAGGAAGGACATCCTCTTCTATGACCGCATCCTGTGTGATGTGCCCTGCAGGTCAGCAGACGTATCCGCTACATGTCTGCATCGCTCATGCAGAGAGTTGGGGTTACGAAGCTGCTAAAACAGTGAAAATATGATCAGTAAGCTCTGATTTATGTGTGGGTGTTTGACAGGAAAGCAGATTTTATGAGGCAGATGTAGATGACGTACCACACTCTCCATCAAATGCACCGTCATCATACGTTGCTGTTAGTGTCTTTGTGACCTTCAGGTTTCAGTAGGGTGGCAAAACATTTGTCCACATCTTTCATCTCTTGAAATTTAGCATCATTTTGTGGCCAAAGCAGAACTGCCTCGGTTTGCAAATGCTGCCTGAGTTTGGGCAGCTGTAGTGCTGAAGCCAGGAGTCTCCTGCCAAAGACAACATAGGGAGGGGAGAGGCGTGGGGGGGAGGAAAAGCAGTAATGAAGACAGAAGCAGACAGTTTGTGCTTCGCAGACATTTTATTTGCCCCATGACAAGTTGAAAAAAGGCTCCGTGGAGGTTTCATCGCCTCGGGCCAAGACGAGGTGGGTGTTCTGACTGTTGCTGCTCTGTGCTCTGCAGTGGGGATGGCACCATGAGGAAGAACATAGACGTGTGGAAGAAATGGACGACCAGCAACAGCCTGCATCTCCACGGGTGAGTGGAGGAGAGCGCGCGCTCACGCCTAAGCTACAACACAGGAATGCAGTCGTGTGGTACAGCAAATTGACTAAACAGCAAGGGAATGGAG